CTCCACTGTCCTCCCGTGTCCGGCGGTTCCGTCCGGCTCTCTGTCAGGTCTTCACCTCCCCTCGTTCTCTACGCACTTGGTGAGTACCGCTACCCTCCAGGATGCGATGGTCACTACCACCACTCCTGGGGGTCAGCGTGTGTCGATCTGCACGTGCACACGGACGGGCCGTCACCTGGCCACGTTCACTCATCGGCCAGGGTCGAGTCTGTACACACTCACTACCGAGCCTTCTCAGGTAGCTGCGTCTGCTCAGGTGTCCGCGTCAGGTCAGGTAGCCGCCTCTTGCTCGTGTCGCCTCCTGTCGCACCAGACTCTTCTGTGGCACCACCGTCTGGGTCACCCCTCCCTGCCTCGCCTTCGTGGCATGCACTCTCGTCTTCTTGTCTCTAGCCTCCCCAGGTCTCTGCCTCCCCTGCCTCCCTTGCGTCGAGGGGCGGCAGCGCGCCGCTCCTCACTCCTCCTCGTTTCCCCCGAGGACTGCTCCCCTGCAGACTCTCCACATGGACGTGTGGGGCCCAGCTCGCGTCAGTGGACAGAGCCGCGAGCGCTACTTTCTGCTGGTAGTTGACGACTACACGCGGTACACCACGGTCTTCCCCTTGCGCAGCATGGGTCAGGTCGTTGATGTCTTGATCCCTTGGATCCGCACAGTCCGTCTCCAGCTCCGCGAGCAGTTCGGCCAGGACCTTCCTCTCCTGCATCTGTACTCTGAGAGAGGTGGTGAGTTCTCCTCCACCCGCTTGCGCGACTTTTGTCATGGGGAGGGCATTCTCCAGTCATTCACGCTTCCGGACTCCCCTCAGCAAAATGGGATTGCTGAGCGCCCCATTGGCTTAGTCATGGAGGTCGCTCGTACCTCCATGATCCATGCGGCTGCTCCCCATTTTCTGTGGCCGTTTGCGGTCCAGTACGTTGCGCATCAGCTCAACCTCTGGCCCCGTGTCTCCTTGCCGGAGACCTCGCCCACACTGCGTTGGACGGGGGAGGATGGCGATACGTTGGTGTTCTGGGTCTGGGGATCTTGTGCCTTTGTTCGCGATACGTCTGCGGACAAGCTCTCCCCCCCTGCTATCCCCTGCGTCTTCCTTGGCTTTGTCCCTGACGCGCCTGGCTGGCAGTTTTACCACCCCACCTCGCGCCGTGTCTTCCCTTCTCAAGACGTTACATTTGACGAGTCGGTTCCTGTTTACCGTCTCTTCCCCTACCGCTCTGCCCCCCCTCCCGCCCCAGGGTCCTGCTCCCTCAGGTGTGTCTCAGGTAGACCCTCTCCCTGGTCTTGCGCCTGTTCAGGTAGCTGACGACTCAGGTGCTGCTCGAGGTGCTGCGTCTGGGGGTACTGCGTCTGGGGGTGCGGAGCATGGGGGTGCGGAGTCTGAGGGTGCTGAGACTGGGGGTGCTGAGCCTGGGGGTGCTGATCCAGGGGGTGCTGTGTCGGAGGGTGCGGAGTCTGGAGGTGCGGAGCCTCAGGGTGCTGCTTCGTCTGGGGGTTCTGCTGGTGCTTCGCCGAGCCTGTCTCCGCAGCATTTGCGTGAGTGGTTTGTTCGGCATACACGCCTTCGGAGTGGAGCTTCTGGAGCTGGAGGTGCTGGCCCTGCTTGAGCTGGAGGTCTTGGAGTTGCTGTTGGAGCTGGTGTTACTGGAGGTACTGCGACCACTGGTCCTGGAGGTGCTCGTACCCGGGGTACTGGAGCTGCCGGGACTGGTGGTGTTGAGGGTACTCGAGCTGGAGACCTTACTGAGTCTGGTACTACTAGCACTGGTGACGCTGGAGCTGGAGGAGCTGGAGTTGGTGGCCCTGGCGCAGGAGGCGCTGGAGTTGGAGGCCCTGGTGTTGGAGGTGCTGGAGCTGGAGGAGCTGGAGCTGTTGACCCTGGTGGCGCTGTGCGGCCGCGACCGTACTTCGTTTCCCTGCTCCAGCAGGTTCTTGGTACCCCGCCTTCTGCTGCCCTTACTCCTCCCCTCCTGTGTCCCCCGCCTGACCAGTCGCAGCCGCCGTTACAGCCGGCCTCTCCACTGCCTGCTCCTTCTCCTTACACTGAGCAATCTGGCGGTCTTACAGAGCGTCGTGAGCCTGTGTCTCATCCTGTCTCGCCTGTTCGCACTGCTCGTCGCGTTCCTCGTTCGCGTCCTCCTCTTGTCCCTGGCACGCACGCTATGACCCTTCGTCCTTCCTCTGTTCCTCTACGCGTTCCTCTGCCAGCTCCTCTTGAGTCCTCTCTTCCTGAGGTCCTTGACCCTGAGTCTGACCGCGCTCGTACTGCCAGTCCCACTGTCTCTCGTCTCCTCGCTACTGCTGTCACCGACCCTTCCTTTGAGTCTGCTGCTGTGTCTGCTCTTGTTGCTGAGCTGCTTGACTTTGCTGCGGCCTGTCGTCTAGACTACGCCACTGCTCTTGTTGCTGAGTCTACGTCTGCCAGTCCTCCGTCCGTCGGGGGTGAGTGCGCTCTTGGCACGGACGTCCTTGAGGACATGCAGGAGGACTTTGAGTGTCTTGCAGCTGCTGTACCTCGTTTCGCTTCCATGCTGCTTGCCCGGAGACCCGGATGCACCAGACATCCCGACCCCGCGCTCTTACGCAGAGGCGATTGCGGGTCCTTACTCCTCTCAGTGGCAGGCAGCCATGGATGCCGAGATGGCATCCTGGAAGTCCACAGGCACCTACGTCGACGAGGTTCCCCCACCTGGGGCGAACATAGTCGATGGCATGTGGATCTTCAGGGTGAAGCGGCCGTCGGGTTCTCCGCCTGCCTTCAAGGCGCGTTACGTTGCTCGAGGCTTCAGACAGCGACAGGGAGTTGACTACTTCCATACCTTCTCCCCCACCCCGAAGATGACTACTCTTCGGGTGTTGCTGCACGTCGCTGCTCAGCGTGACTACGAGTTGCACTCTCTGGACTTCAGCACAAAGTTCCTGCAGGGCAGCCTGCACGAGGAGATCTGGTTGCGCCGCCCACCTGGTTTCACCGATTCTTTTCCTGCAGGTACTCAGTGGAGTCTTCGGCGGCCAATCTACGGTCTACGCCAGGCGCCTCGTGAGTGGCACGACACACTGGGGACTACAGTTGCGGCTCTTGGGTTTGCTCCTGCTACTGCTGACCCATCGCTGTTTCTACGCACCGACACCTCGCTGTCGCCGTTCTACGTCCTTGTCTACGTCGACGACCTCGTCTTTGCCACTGCTGAAGAGACACACCTGCACTGACCTGGGTGAACTACGTAGCTATCTTGGCTTGCAGATCACCTGGGACAGAGCTCAGCACACCATCACCCTGACTCAGTCACACATGGTGCACCAGGTCCTTCAGCGCTTCGGCTTCCAGTTCTCCTCGCCACAGCTCACTCCTCTGTCTTCCAGCCACTCGCTCTCAGCTCCACCTTCGGACGAGTCCGTAGAGCCGAGTGGTCCGTAACCAGAGCTTGTGGGTTGCCTCATGTACCTGATGACGTGCACTCCACCCGACCTCGCATACCCTCTCAGCCTCGTGGCTTGCTATGTGACTCCCGGCAGGCACCGAAAGGTGCACTGGGATGCTGCGAAGAGGGTACTGCGTTACTTGTGCAGTACGTCGGGCATGGGGCTCGTGCTTGGAGGACGGGTTCCAGTTGTCCTCACCGGTCACGCAGACGCCTCCTCGGTGGACGACTCGGCTACGCAACGGTCGTCACAGGGTTACACCTTCAGCCTTCGCTCCGGCTGTGTTTCTTGGGTCTAACTGCTCGTCTTCGGTTCTCAGCTCCAGTTGTGAGGCTGAGATCTACGCCGGGGCCATGGCTGCACAAGAGCTACGCTGGCTCACCTACCTGCTTACTGACTTGGGAGAGCAGCCTCGTTCGCCTCCAAGTCTGTACGTAGACAACACGGCCATGATTGCCTTGTGTCAGGAGCACAGACTGGAGCACAAAACAAAGCACATCGCTCTGCGATACTTCCTTGCTCGAGAGTTGCAGCATCGTGGCCAGCTTCGTCTTGCGTACGTGGCCACTCGGGCCAACACTGCTGATGTCTTCACCAAGGCACTTCCGCCTGGTGATCATCAGCGCTTTGCTACTGTGTTAGGCCTTGTGCCTACTTTGCCTCACTTGCTTACTGCTTGACTCTGCTTGTACTGTGATCTATATATATACCTGCATGCTTGCACTTGCTAGGGTATGATCACTGTATTGTTTGTTCTCTTTATATAACTCTGCATGTGACCTGGCCTTGTGGCCCTTTGCTTGTGCTCGGACTGTGTGGTGACTTTGTGATCCACCCTGAGCTTGCTTTGCTTTTCTCCCCCACTTTGCCTATGGGGGTGTGTCAGAACATTATAGCTTATACATTTGTGTAGGCTATAGTGGGGTAGCCCATAAGGGGTACAACCCAATTAGGGTTAGTACTTGCAACCAACTGTTTGCTAGTTCATTCATTCTCGTTCGTTACTTTGACACCTATCACTAGGAGCAGACGCGGCGCGGACTTCCTCGGCACCAAGGAGGTCGACAGCAGCAGCAGTGGCAACTGAGGGTATGAGAGGGGAGGGAGCACGCCCTTCAAAGAAGGGGGAGCGGGGAGTGCCATGAGAGGCAGCGTCAGCGACAGTACTGGTCTCAGCCTCGAGAAGGTACTTCTACAGCGAGGCAAGCGTCAGCTCAGTGGGGTCAAGGGTGGGAAAGTGGTCCCTAAAAAGGGTGACAAGGAAGTACAGGGTGATATTAAGCAGGGGGGGGTGTCTCTTTGAGGAAGGCCGGCTTGAGAGCGGCTCGGTAGCGAGTCTCACTAGAGCGAAGGTGGGTCATGAGATCAGCAACAGTGCGAAAATATGCGAGCTCAGGAAAGAGGTACGGCAGAATGAGGCGGCCTAGGGCAGCAGTAGCTGGGGAGGAGTAACGAGCAACAACTGCATCATATATGTCTTTGGCTTTCTTCTGCTGGCCAAAATGGGCTTTCTTAGCTAGAGGAAGGTGATTGCGGACAGCAAGGTGGGCAGTAGTGTTACGTGTGAGCCACTTCGACTGATCTAAGCGGTCGGCTGTAGCAGGTGGGGCAAGGAGGGATCCGGACGTATGTTCTATCAATGAAACTCCATCCCTAGCCTCGCTCTGCAAGAACAGCTCGAGATCGTCAAGTCAAACGTCAAAGCTAATCGGGCGACCCTCCGTATCAAAGCTAAGAACCGAGATGGTGGCCATAGTAGCAGGAGCAGCAGCAGCAGCAGCAGCAGCAGCAGCAGCAGTGGTGCCAGTAGTAGCAGGAGCAGTAGCAGCAGCAGCAGCAGCAGCAGCAGCAGCAGCAGCAGCACCAGCAGCAGCACCAGCAGCAGCACCAGCAGCAGCACCACCAGCAGCAGCAGTAGCAGCACCAGCAGCAGCAGCAGCAGCAGCAGCAGCACGAGCAGCAGCAGCAGCAGCAGCAGCAGCAGTAGGGCATTGCATCTCGGTAGGGGTAGGGCAGCGCGGCTCGGTCAGGGCGGCGTGGCTCGGGCAGGGCGGCGCGGCGCGGCGCAGCTCGGGCAGGGCGGCGCGGTGCGGCGCGGCTCGGCAGGGCACAGCACAGCAGCGCGTGCGGCAGCAGCAGCTCAGGCGCAAGAGCAGCAGCAGCTCAGCGCGGTTGGCAGCAGCTGCGCAGCAGCAGCAGCGCGTGCGGCAGCAGCAGCTCAGGCACAATAGCGCAGCAGCAGTAGCGCGGTTGGCAGCAGCTGCGCAGCAGCAGTAGTGTACGCAGCAGCAGCAGCAGCAGCGCGCGCGGGTAGGGGCGCTCGCGGGCAGGCAGCACGCGCTCAGGCAGGGCAGCGCGCGCGGGCGACAGGCTGCGCGCTAGCGGGCAGGAAACTCGCGTGCAGCAGGCAGCGCGCGTGGCAGCAGGGCAGCGCGACGCTATACTGGCAGGGCAAGGCAGCGCAAGGGCGCTCCGGGCAGGTCCTAGAGGATCAATTTGGTGGGCCCTAAAAAATCTAACAGTGTTCCTACTCTGAAACCATGTCGAGAGAACTGTGCAGGAATGATGAATGACTAGCAACAGGGAGATACATGTATGAAACCCTAACTCGGGTTGTACTCTATACTGAGCACATCACCGTGGCCTAGCAGAACTAAGAACATGCAAATATGTTTTGAAAATGTTTACCAGGCCCCACGATATCAGGGCAAAACATCCTGATTACCCTGAATTCAGGATGCATATTTGAAATTGCCCTGTAATTTCAGAATAGTGCCACTTTTAACCCTGAGCTCTCAGGATGGTATTACATGAAATGCCCTGGAAAATCAGGATGGCTGTGGTGTTCTTCCCTGTAGCGTCAGGATGAATGTCGAGGCTTGCCTTGACGCGTTTTTGTTTCAAGGGGGAGGGAGGAGAGGGGGGGGGTACCGTTTCCCAGGAATTTGTTCCCCAGAAAATTTTCCCCTGCGGATTGCTTTCCCCGTGCGAATTGCTTTCTGCCTTCGCGACCCCCTTGCACTTCCGACCCTGCGCAACGCACCAACCAAACGCATCAGATGGGGGAAACAGGGAACACTCCCATCTCGTCGTGTGCCATGCTGCTCTGCTCTGCTCTGCTCAGCAGAGTCTGGTCTGGTATGTGCTGAAATCTGAACCCTGAACACAGTTTTTTTTGCCCTGACAGGTCAGGATTAATGTATGCAGAAGCCCTGAATATACACGAAAGCTTTGAAAATTTGCCCTGACAAATCAGGGCTTTTTTTAAGATTTTAGAAAAGTGCCCTGAGGCCTCAGGATGCCCCAATTCCTAGCACAGGCCTTGATGTTTACCTACGGCATACCATGTTGCGCGTGGCGTGTGTTGGGCTGAGAAAAGCCCTTAGGAACTTTCAGGACTAAGATCGGGTGTTGACGTAGAGTTGTAACAGCGGAAGCGTTTTAATGAAGAGTTGTCGTGAACCACCTTGTGCTAGTTTGTGAGAACAAGATAAGTTGATAATAGCAGAGAAGTACAAGACTTTTATATGATTACAAAGGAATATTGAAAGTAACTGTTTTTGCTGTTGCGGTTCGATACAGTGCCGACTCGGGTAACTGCTCTGTAACGAGTCAGTTATGTGTCCTTGCTGACGCACTGTACGTTTCGTCAGGTCAAAGGTCGGAGACCTTTGACCTTCGCGCAGCCTCTGACGGTTGCCTTGGTTGACTCGAGTGCTTCTTCGCTGTAGTCAGTTCCGTTTTGTGTCGAAGCTTCGATACGACAGAAGCGTTATAAATCACTTGTTTCCAACACTCCCCTTCGCTTCTGGAGGATTGTTGCGGATGACGTGTCCTTGTCCAGTCAGCAGCATGCAGTACTCGAACTTCTGTTTTCCAAGTTTCTTGGTCAAGTAGTCAGCTGCCATCTCGGATGTGGGACAGTAGGATAGTTCAAGTCTTCCCTTTTCGATCTCGTCTTTCACGAAGAAGTACCGAAGGGCGATGTGCTTCAATCGATTCGCGAACCCGTTTTTGTTCGCTATGCGGATGGCCTATTGGTTGTCGCAGAAGAGTGAGAAATTGGGTAACTGGGCCAATTTTGCTTCCTCCAGTAGTTCGCGAAGATATAGTCCTTCCTTGGTTGCTGAGCAGAGTGCGATATATTCTGCTTCTGCAAACAAGAGAGCGATTAGCTCTTGCTTGTTCGACTGCCATGAGATAGGCCCGATAGGTTCGAGTCTGTAGACGTAGCCGGTTCGAGATCGTCTGTTGTCAAAGTCTCCAGCATGATCGGCGTCGACATAACCGATTAGTTTAGGTGTTGCGGTGCTGGTCTTGTGGTAGGTGAGGCTGATCGTCGGAGTGCTGACACGATAGTGAAGCGCTCAGTCGAGTTCGAGCATGTGTTCTACTTCAGGTTTCTTGAGGTAGGTAGCAAGTTGGCTAGCTGAGTAGGATAGATCCGGTCGACAGGTGACGGCTGCGAAGAGTAGGCAGTCTAGTTTCCTTTGGTAGTCGCGGACGCCAGCAGGTTTGAGTAGGGCTGAGCCTTTTTTATTTCCGTCGGTGTAGCGGTATGGTGTGGAGATAGCCGTTGGGATGAGTCCGAAGCATTTAGCAGCGCTGAGGTAGATGGCATCGTCGCCGTCTTCGATGTTCAGTCCTAGGTACTGCGTCACGGTGGTTGCGACGGTGAGAGTTAGATCTCCCTGCAGCTCCCCTTCAAACCATGTCGTCACAGTGTCGGTGGAGCCTATGTAGAGAAGATCATCGACGTAGACGATAAGTAGGATGTAGTTGGTGCCTTTTGTCAGTCGATACATTCCTTGGTCGTGTGGTAGCTGAAGAAATCCGATGCGAACTAGGCGGGCGTGAAGGTGCTGCTGCCATAGTCTTAGGGCTTGCTTAATCCCGTACAGTGACTTCTCCAGTTGACAGATTTGGTTGGGGCCTGCGTTGGATCCGTGTGGGAGTTCGACGAAAATCTCAGCGTCGACGGGGGCATAGAGGAAGGCGTTGGTGACATCAATTTGTCGAAGCTTCTTTCGGTTCATGGCGGTGATTGCGAGGAGAATCCGCAGTGAGGTATGTCGGCTTACTGGGGCGAATGTTTCCGTGAAGTCTCGCCCTTGCTCTTGGTCGAAGCCCCGCACGACCCAGCGTGCTTTGAACTTGTCGATTGTTCCGTCGGCTTTCGTTTTCACGCGGAAGACCCATTTTCCCGTGAGGATAGTTTTGTTGTGTGCCAATTCGATAGGCACGACTTTCCAGGTGTTGCGTTCCTGCAGCGCCTTCAATTCCTTGTCCATGGCTTCACGCCATTTTTCCCTGTGTTCCCCCCCCAGAGCCTGCTGAATTGTCGCAGGCTCTTTAGGTGGTTCCGTTCCGTGGATGGCGGTGACAAGTCCCAGTATCTGCAGACCACTCTGTGTGTAGTGGGGGAGATTTGTGTCCTCTAGATAAGCTGCTTCGTCTCCTGCTTCGGGGTCTGGTAAGAAATTTGGTCCTATGCGTTCGGAGATGTTGGTGGCGACCGGTTGAGGTGTAACGTAACCGGTGTCGTCGAAGTCGAAATAAGTTTCGGCGTTGACACTTTCGCGAGGATTTTCGTCGTCCATCGGGATAGGCACGGAGCAGTATGGGAGTGGTCCTGCTTCTTCAGATGCGTTGTCCACGTTTTGTTCATCCCAGTCAGCTTCGTCTACTGCTGAAGCAAAGGCTCGGTTGCCACGGAAGCCGCCCGTGAGGTCTCGATTTGCTGTCAGGTTGTCCAGGTACGTTTGAAGTGTGAGTCGTTCGTAGAAGATGACATCATGTGCTGCCACTGTTTCCTTCGAGTGGACGTCAAAAATCTTCCATGCGTTGTAATGCTTTTTGATGCCCAGGTGTAGTCCCCATTGTGCGCGTTGAGAAAATCTTCCGGCTCTTGCAGTGTGCGGACGATACTGTACCATGCAACCGAAGACTCGTAACATTTTTGTGTTGCCCAACTTTCCTGTCCACAGCAGGTGCGGTGATGCGTTGTTCGGAAGTGACGACGACGAAAGCAAGTTGTGCAGCATGACAGCGTGGTCCATCGCCTCAGGCCACTGGTGATAGGGCAGTCGCATGCCACGCAGCAATTTGCGCATGGTGTTCTGGAGAGTTCTGTTCATCCGTTCTGCCACGCCTTGCTGTTGATGGGCGTAGGGAAGCGAAATGAGTCGCTTGATGCCTCGTGTTGCGAGGTACTGCCTGAACCTCTGGGACTGATATTCCCCTCCTCCATCAGACTGGAAGCTTTTCAGCTTTGCGCCCGATTCTCGTTCTGCCACAGGTAGCCGGGCGACGAAGGCTTCGAAGGCCATGTCGCGACTTGGAAGATTAAGGTGCCAGACGTAACGGGTGGCGGCGTCGATGAAAGTGATTACGTAATTATATGTGCCTTGTCCTTGTTCGCGAGTATACAGAATGTCGCTGTATACTTTCTCGAGTGGTGCATAAGCTGGCGCACTTGGATTGTGGTGAGAGGCGAACGGTTGATGCGGTAAGTCGGCTTCGGGATAGGTAAAGCATGTTCCGCGGACTCGTTGGAGTTCTCTGCCGTCGGGTAGAAGGAGTGAGTCCTTGTCGAGCACTGCTGCCTTGTTTGTGTTGTTTAACATTTTCTTCTTGGATGTCCTAGTCGTTCGTGCCACAGGGACTCACTTGCACGATGTCCGGGTGAGCGCCTATATAGGTTGGAGTTGGAGTAAAAGGCGGCGGTGAAGTTGGCGCTTCTGTGAACTTCTCGTGGAGTGGGAGCTAGCTGCTGCGCAGGAGTCGGTGGAGTGTCGTCGATGGGTGGTGATGCCGTTGATGAGCTCGCGATTGGTGTTGTAAGTGTTGTTGGTGTTGCCGATGTTGTCTCTGCTGCTGTCGATGTTGTTGCTTCTTGTCGGATTGTTGCTAATGCCCGTGTTCTTTCTGCTTCAGGTATGGTATGTGAATACCAGAACCCTCCGAGGCTGAAGTCAGGATCGAGGTCCGGTGGGTG